CTCGTCACCAAGCAGTCTTGCCACAGGCAGTTGGGTTTCTTTCAGGTTGGTGTTACTTCTCAAAACCAAAGTTAAATCATATTTTTCCTGTGCATGCGATAAAGGCTTAATCAAGTCCGAAGAGAGAGAAAAACATGCGGAAGTACGTAAGAAATTGTGCCAATGTCGTCAATCGCATTGGAATTTGTAGGCGTTGATCCCCAACAATTACAATCAGTAAAACACAAAGAGGTGGCCGTGCACAATGCAAGCAATCATAATCGCGTTAATTAACTGGTTCTCCCCAGCAGTAAAAGCGGATACATTAATTAATTTTGCTTAACGCTTTTCGCTTATCATCTAATATGCTAATAATTTTGTTTGTCTCATAGGGATGGAGATTACGTGCCCTGGAAACCCCGGCCATGGCTCAGCTTTTCTGAAAGGAACAGCCGGAGAAAAAATTGTGAGTTTGAAACGAAATGGGACAAAGCAAGACACTAAGCTTCTTTTTAGTTTGCTATTTGTTTCTTTGTGTTTGTAACAAAATGGGACATATCAAGACGGTAAACTTTTTTTTTTAGTTTGTTGTTTGTTTGTAATAAAATGGAACAAATCAAGACAGTGATTTTTTCAGTGTGCTGTTTATTTCTTTACAATGGATCGCCCTTTCGAACGAAGGTAGGGACAAAATGGACGGGGTGGGGGGTGGGGAGGGGGTGGGGCTTTCACGTGGAGTCGGCTTCTCCTTGCCACTTGCCCCAGGACGACAGAAAAACAAGGAATCTTGACTCACTTGTCCAAGTTGAGGTGTGTTTACCATGGAGTCGGTCAGCTATGCAGTAAGTTTGTTTGGGGGTTTTTTTGGGGTTTTTTTTTGGCTTTAAAAAAATGCTATTTCTTAATCTGTGGTATCAGTTGCATGAACTCAAATTTTTAAAAAATCAAAATTCAAATTGCATTTTAAATGTTAAAAATATGCAAGGAAAAGATATAATTTAGGCACAACTGTTAAACCTTTTTTGCTCCTCATTGCTGATAAACTTTGCTTTCTGGGCTTAGAACATTTAAACAGCCTGCCAGGTTCTTGTGAGGTTCAACTGGTTTTCTTGTGCGTATGGAAATTAAAGATTCTTTTTGTATGTGTGTGTGTGTGTGTGTGTGTGTGTGTGTGTGTGTGTGCGTGCGTGCGTGTGTGTGTGTGTGTGCGTGCGTGTGTGTGTGGTTATTCTCAGTACACATTCCTTCGTTACAAAGCCCCCAGATCTTATACTTGTATGGGATAGAGCGCAGTGTAACTGTAATCTCTCGTTACTCTGTCTTCTCATTGTTACTCTAATAGTTAATAATCTGTTTTAGAAAGACTAAATGATCAGCTTTCAGAAATGTTTTATGTTGTAATGATTAGACTCATGGCTGTCACACCCAGAAGACGTGAATTCCATTCTCGCATGGGAAAGTCTTTTTAATAAAACCAATTTTCTTACATTCTTTTTTTTAAAAGAAAGATCTCTTCTTGATTTTAGTTATTCGGTAATCCTTGTCGGGTATGAGGGAAAAAGAACAGCATTGTACGCTGACCAAAATCCAACAGGACTCAATGAGCTATTTCTGTAGTCATAACTTTCGATTTCATTTGCTTGTGGACAATTTTTAAAAATCAAATTACAGCCTGTTTCTTCTTTTCTTTGCATTCATGGGTTTCGTATAAAAATGTGTGCGATTATAGCTGTAAACATTTAACGCCTTTCCGTTTTCAATGCAGTCAGGCTATTTAAGAGGCGGGCTTCAAAATTTCAATTCAATTTCCGAAAGGACCAACAACCCAAGTTCAAGAGCGATCCGTTGGAGATTCGAACAAAGTTCATGCATTCCTTACTTCAGCATGATTCCAAAGAAGCTTAACGAGTGCCCATCAAAATTCTGAAATCTGCATTTTACAAAAATATTAAATAATTGGACTTCAGGTTGAACGCCTAGACCTTAATTTACATGACTTGAAGACTAGAATACTCAGCCATGATATAACATAATATAATATATAATATGACATATATA